GTTGGAGGAGTTTTCTGGCAAACTGGGGCTAAGTATGGATCGGGAAATGCTCCCTTGTTCTTTAACTTCATGGCTCACATCAGGACGCTCCTTAGCTCCTAGTTGCCAAGTACGATGCTCCTCCATCGGTTTCTTCTTGGTGTGCTTTATATTCTGAAACCATAGATGAAAGCAACTTACTGTTTTTACTATTTACATTTTCATAAATAATAATGTAGTCTGGTCTTTTAATTCTGTATTTACTAAGAAGAAAAGTTGCCCAAGAAAGTTTCTATTTTTAACAGAAATGAAGGAGAAAACAGATTATCCGAACTAAAGATAACAGATATTAATTCATCTGAGTGTTTACAGCATTTATTTAGCATACTCTTGTTTGGTGTTTGTATGACAGGGTATTTTGAAATTCACTGTCCTTAGATCTTAAACTGATAACTTAAAACTTGTGTGCAGGAGAGAGTGACATTAATTCACTGTGGTTTTGCTGGTGGGACTCAGACTAAACAAGGAGAAAACAAATGGTTAGTTTTAGTAGAGTGCAAAAAATATTTGACTTAAATGGAAAATGCTTTTTAATACTAGGTAATTGGAGCACTAACTATTAGTGTCCTTAATAAAGTTAAGCACGGTTGAGTATTGTAAACTTAATACATATTATCTGTGTCAAACAGGGCTGAGTGAATAGTGCCCATGAATCAAATCTTTGCTTTGTGGCAGTTGGGAGCTCATTGAAGGCCCTCCGATTGTGGCTTCTGTCTTCCAGCTTCACCAGGGTGTCTTTAACACCTGAAACCTTATTCACGGAAGTGCTGTTGTTTATTTAGTTTTAAAGTTACCACCAGAACATCTCATGAGGATTGGTGTCTCCTGCCAAATACTGCCATTGTAGAGCTGTCGGTGTGGTTGAAATCCACTCCTTGACCTTCACTGACACTTGTGTTTGAGCAAAGTTCAGCTGATCGGCAAAAGGCAGAAAATAAATTAGTCATGAGATGGAAAACTTTTAGGTACAATAACAGAAATTAGGAAGCTTTCCCCTAAATAGAAGTATGTTGAGAATGCCTCCTCTCAGCTACATTTTTTTTACAGCAAGAGCAATATTGCTTTTTGAGACCACCTGTGAGATAAAAGTCTTAGAAATACAAGTAGCTGGCTTCCCTCTGGTCTAGTCAGTCATCACACCGATGTGGGTCTCCTGGGCTCCCCTTGTCCAGGGCTCACATCCCTTGAGCTTTTCCCCTGTTGAGTCACATGCGTCATGAATATTGCTTCTCTCTATTTTAGTTTTCCCTGAACTTTAGGCTGAACACCTGGCCTGAAACTACAGAAATCTCACTAAATGTTATGTATGTGTTTAATTTTAAAGATAAGATTTTGACAGGCCATCAAGGTCTAAAGTTCTGATACTAATATAAGAGAATGTTACTTCCTATTACCCATATAAACTTGTGCAAATTTATTTTCTATCTTGTTCATATCTTTTATTATCTTGCTTCCTAAGATTTTCCCAAATACACTGCTTTTGGCTGTCCTCAGTCTGAGACAGAAAAGAGAGATGGCAAACCTTAATCAGATAACATGGAAAATGTCTCTTGTGTTATTTTATCAAGAGACAGTGGTCATTTTTTTTCTTAGATTTTAATAAAAACGTTGGGGGGAGGTAGGAAGCTAGTGATACAACATAACAAGCCTAGGGGCAAGGCCTCGAGTTTCGGTTTGGTTTGTGTGGGAGCTGTCCCGGGCACACTGCGGACATCATAGCACGGTGCACGGAGAGGCCCCCGCAAACGGGGTCACCCTCAGAGCTTACTCCATGTGCTTATCCTCTCTCACGGGGGACTGAAATGTATCTTCAGGTTTTCTATCATGCTGCATTCATTTCATCTAGAGTTCCAGGATGCAGTTTTGATAGAGGAAGTCAGTAGGGAGGCTGAACTGGACTCTCTATTCTGGCCTGTCGCTTCACTCAGCCTTAAGAGAAAGCAATTTCCAGGTGGGAGAATAGAAGTCTCTTGGATAGTTCTTCCCTAACCTCAGCTTTCAGCCATCAGATAGAGCAATTATTTGATTGGCTTATGAATTCTTAGTTATGTAGCGCTGAAAGCTGAATTCTTATCTGTGAAACATCACGTTCTGCAGCCTGACCTACAGGCACCGCGTTAATGTCATATTTTGTTTGTTCCCTCCGTAATTCTTCCTACCAAGAATTCCTTACTGCTTGGTAAAGCATTGGCCAGAATTTATCAGTAATATACTGTGTCTTCCTACCTTCCTCCAGACCAGTTTTGCCCTTTGGCCTTTGCTTGCATGGGTAGGAGCCCACTTTGTGTGAGCCATAGCATAGGGTTTCAGGGGTTGCTTTTTGGTTAATTTCTGGTGGGCTGAAACCAGAAGGATTTCTGTCAATCTGCCTCTTTCCCCCAGCTCCCCAAAGGAAAGACATTGGCTCTAACAACAAATAGGGGCACCAGTATTCTTTTCAATCCTCTTCCTGCCTCCTTAGCCCTGCCGCAGTCTGCAGAAAGCCAGCCCAGGGCTGTGCCCATGGGAGGGTCACAGCTGGCAGGTGGTTGAGGAGCATCCGAGGCACACCTACCGACTTCTTCACGCACGCATGCGCAGACATGCAGACGCGCAGATGCACGCGCATGCAGGCACACAGACACGCGGACGTGCACACACTGGTGTGCCCGGTGGTTTTACCGCAGCGCCTCCTTGAAGGGCTGGTCGTGCGTCCGCGGGTACCTGGGAGCCGCTGCGCTCTAACTCCCACCGCGGATTCCAGCACGTGGATCCTAGAACAATGGCATTTCTGTTAAAGTGCCTTTTGTGTGTGGTCCTTTATAGGAAAGGCCTTTTCCTGTTGAATTCCAGTGGTTCTTCCCGTAAACGTAAAGTAATTTGAACTATGGTGGCAACTTTGGGAATGAATCCTAAGAGTTCCTACACCTAGTTGGGGCCACAGTCTATATACATCCCCTGATGACAGGTGTGATAGCGTATATATCATTGTATCACATGCCTGGAACACGGTGTATTCTAAATTTTTGTTGAAAGAATAACAAGAAATTTAGTAAATGGGAAAAAAACCCAGGAATAAGGAATAGCAGTTTAGCTATAAGGGTAGACTGTGCAGTGTTGCAAAGTAGTCTTTTAAATCACATTAGAAGGTCAGTGGGCGTTCTCTGCGTGCCCAGATGCAAACTTTGGAGGGAGTCCTGCAGGAAACAGTCCTGTGTGCGGGCAGGCGGCCGAGCAGTGTGGCCTTTCCCAGTTAGTCTGTGAGCCTGGGCTCCAGTCCAGGTTTGCGTCGCATGCTCAGCCTTGTATCTTAATAAGCCATTAGATACTTAGAGTATTTTAACAGGATTAGCAAGATAATAAGATGAGAGACAGTATTACAGAAGTCATCTTGTTGCTCAAGCACATGAACTGTAGTTTTCCCATGTATATTTTTATGTGTCTGTGTACTTTACGTAACTGTAATCACAATATTATTTTTCTTTTGCTATTTTCAGCTAGTGTGGTAGTTTTCCATGAAATCATTAGATTTTTTTATTCTGCACATGTTGTAGGATTCTGAAAACTGGCAACTTAGAATCTGTGGAGAAATTGTGCCCACATAGTTTATAGGACATGGGGCTGGGAGACTAACTTTCTAGGGCCATGCGTTCAATATTGCTGGACCACTGTCTTCAGCAGTGGACTTCTGGGAATCTAGTTTAATTTGTGGCTAACCTGGAAGAGGATATTCTGCTGTACAGGTGGAAGTTTGGGAGGAAAATTATTTTTTGTATGTTTTTGTTTTCTGAATATATCATGATTGAAAATTAGAGAAAAGTAAACACTATGTAATTTAGAAGGTTTTTAGGTTTTTTAAAATTCACAGCCTTTTTATACAGAAGGAGAAAAATGTTACTGAGGGATGTGTTTGTGGAGTGAGTGGCTCTGTTAGTAGAACTTGCATTCTTTTATAGTTTTAAGATAATTTAAGTTGGGTTTTTAAAAATTGGACTGCATGTTTGAATTGTGTCGTTGAACCTTCTCCAGCTTTTTCTCCCTGTGTGACCCTGGGTAAGATCTAATCGTAACTGAAAAGGAGGAATAAAAACATTTGATGCTGACTGTGATTATGACGATGGTAGTTTGTGACTGGCAGGGCCACCACGAGGATGAGTGGAGAGCACGCTGGCGTCCAGGACAACGCTTTCAGAATAGGATGAACTGCCACAAGGCCCCTCTGTGAGGGGTGGGCACAGGCAGAGGAGGCCAGGACCAGGAGTGGCTGTCAGCTGACTTCTTGGCCACACGTGGTTTCTGAGCACGCTTAGATCACTGAGGTTCAGCTGGTTGTCAGTCTTCGGGACCACGGAGCCCTGCCCAGGACTGCGGGGACTCACCTGATTTCTTTCCCTCAGAACCTGGCCCTGTGTCAGTCTGGTTCTTTTAGGTTGAGACAAATCTTCAGGCTTTCAGCAGCTTCCAGCATATTCCGTGAATGCTGAGAGTACAGACTTCTGTTAGTCCATATGCCCCAACTCGTTTCTGAATCAAAAATAGATATCTGTGCTGGTGTGTGTATGGGGGTAGGGAGCAGTTATAAGGTCTTCCGTTTCCCTTGTTCGGAAAAGATAGGCTGTTTCTATTAAAGATGGGGTTTGAGTGAAGAGAGATTTTTAACAGAAGGATTATACATTACAAAACATTGTGAACCTAGTCAAACAGATTCAGACTAGGTACTGACGCAGCAGCTGAGACCAGGCCCCTTGGAACTTGTCCAGTTTGAGAGTATTTTTTTTATTAGAGTCATTGAAGGATAACTGAAAAACTAGCAGTTGGTTGTAAATTTACTGTTTTTATTTTTTGCCAAGTGGGAGTTAAATGAACTGTCTTTCAGGAAATAGTGGGGGGGAAAAGTAGCCACACACTTTTTAGCTAAGTCACTCGTGAGTCAATGAGATTCATCGTTTTGTTAATTTCATCAACATGTTCATTTCTTTCAGCTCCATGTTCATGCATGTCTTTTAATCCGGAAACAAGAAGACTGTCCGTAGGTCTAGACAATGGTACAATCTCAGTAAGTACACATAAATAAGATTTCCAGTTGAAATACTTCCCTTCCTGTGGAGTTATGTATATGTGTATTGTGATGAGAATTATTTATTCATCTTTTTCAATTTAACAACTTAATTTGCTTGTTAAGTCAAGTGGAAAACGCAGTGTCACGGAGCGTGGTGAGGTGTACGGAGCTGGCAGCTGAAGTGCTGCAAGACTCAGCCCGACTTACCCCAGGCCCTGTGGCCTGAACCGCGGCGAGAACAGCGTGACGGGGTCAGTGGGAGCGGCTGGGCTCGGGCGGCTTCGATCAGACGGTCAGCTGTGGGGTCACGGGCTTCCCCGCACTTGGGCCTGCGTGTCTGGTCGCGATGCTCAGTATCTTTCTCTTCCCTTTCTTTCTTCTGCTCCTTGTTGTCTTCTTAACGCCCTCTAACATGTGAATAGAGAGAGTTCTGTAAGTTGTGTGAATTTGTGAAGAAAGCACAGAATCTACATTCACTTTAGGGTAGATCCAGGTAAATATCACACCCTTTTGAAAATAGGTCTTGGGAGAACTGAAATGATGAGAGTTTGGGATTTCAGGTTCTACTACTTACTTAATCACCTTTTTACATATTTATTTCCAACTACTGTTAACTAGTAACAAGACTAATCTGGTAAATTCTCCACTTAGGTCGATTATCCAGTATTGCCTTTAGTCCTGGGCAAGAGGGGCCCTGCTTTGGGACCTGTGAGCTAGAGGACCCCGCTCTGGCCACACTCCCCACAGGACGGAGGATCCGAGGGCCCCCCAGGGTTGTGCCCACCTAGGGCTGGGCGATTGGAGGAGAAGGCTGTGGGCTGGCCTGTCCATGTCACCGCAGTGGGGTGGGACTGAAAGGAGTCTAGAAATTCCAAATATGTACCTGTGCCTTCAGGTGGTTGAGGGCGTATTTGTCAAAATTAAAGGAAGAGGCTGTAATTTAATAGCTTTACTTGGTTTATTTAACTTGTAAAAATTTAGACATGGACCGTGTATCTCCATTTGAAGTCTTGACCCCCACAACTGGTTGAAAGAGGTAGGAGTGAAATTCTTCATTTGATCTTTACTCCAAACATTAGTTCGATGACCTTTATGGAAATGTTAACAATATTGTTAAATATAAATCAGCCTGTTGACAAGTATTTATGGAATTTCTATAATGTCCAGTGCATTTGGTGGGTCTGCAAACTGTTCCTTAGGACAGAAGAAGTTCCCAGTACAGACCTTTGTCTTCTTCAAGGAGGGTCACTTTTAAAAAGTGGGATGGGTGAGGGATAAATTTATTTTTTAAAGACAAAAGGAGATAATTGGATTGTTCAGTGAAGTGAAGTGTTCATTATAAGGGGAACTGAAAAGAGCTGAGATCCATAAATCTTCCAACAGTTCATGGAATAGTACAGATAACACTGTCCGTGAAAAAGTGACGCGTATGTAACCCATGGGTGATCCTTTGCATTTTAAAAATCAACGTGGGTGGTTACTGGGTGCTGATGAATTTGGCTTTGAAGGCAGGACAGGAGAGCAGAGGATGTCAGGGAGGGCTCTGTCTATTTATTGTATATGAGAAAAGAGACCATCTTGGCTGCTACTCTGTCAGCAGATGAGGCTGCCAGAGCACCTCGAGGCCTGGGTCGGGGTGCTCCCTGGGTCTGTCGGTCCGGCGTGGAGGCCTCCAGCCTTGCCCTGCACCGATCTTCTGAGGAACCGAGGACCCGGCTTACGTGGGAGGGTGCCTCACGGGCCTCCCTCATCTGAAGCGTTCTGAGGAGCTCTGAGCTAGGGGGTGGGGGTACGCGAGAGAAGAGCATGGGGAAGGGTTAGAATTCTTACTGATCACTACAGTAATAGGGTCTTTACTGCAAATGCCTGTACAGAATCTTGGCTGCTTAACAGTTGGGCATGAGAAATCCTATTCAGAGAGTATATCTTCTCTGTTCCCTGAATGCAGCAAATCAGTTTAAAGGGAATTACTAGTTAGCTTATTTTAAAACAGAAGGGAGGAAATCAGAAAGTAAATCCTTATTTCTCTTTATTTTACTGAATAAAAGATTTAAGAGGCAGTTAACTTTATGTAACTGGGTGGTAAACTAGAGAAACAGATATAGACCATTCTCTGAAAATCTGGCCGCCAAAGAAGTTAGGTGAGTGGTGGGGCAAGATGTGATAGGGGACACACAGCACGCGAGTCCGGGACTCTGAAGAAGTTAGCTGTGGGAGCAGGGGCAATGTTGAGGTGTGAGAGAGGAAGGGCCTTTTATTCTCCTGTGAAGTAGCAGGTCAGATCACTGACAGAGGTTAGACTGGGACGGGGTGTGTTTTCATGTCTATACATTGTGTTGTTCCTGGTCTCATAGCCCAGAAGCCCCCCTGCCATCTCGGTCCGCAGAATCACAGCCAGCTCTCAATGCTCGTTCAAATGTCCGTGATCTTTTTGTAGCAGGTGGTTTCTGAGCCCTTCCAGCTGAGACAGTCATACGCAGCGCTCCCCAGGTTGGGCACATCGTGCGGCTTACTTAACTTGCTCTGTGAAGTTTTTCCGTCTGTCCTCCACTCAAGTGTGAGCGAGCATTTAGTCAGTCTCTTATTCGTCTCCCAACGGAGCGTAGTTTGTTTCCTGGTACAAATTAGGGACTCAAAAGATTTGTCAAATAAGCTGTTGACCAAATTATAAACACTATTATTATCTAATGCAGCTGGTTGAAGTTAGTACCTGCTTAAATTCTGAGGCGGTTTATTTGTATAATTCCATTGCTGCTCAAAATGTTTTTCACAATGGAATTACCTTCTGTAGGGGGACAAAGTTACCAGTAGTTTAATTTGTCTTGAGTTTTCAGAAGTGTGTTCTGTTTTAATCTCGAAGGAAGTCGGTCAGATCGAGCTAACTGCTCCTCATGCTGACATAGGACTTCAGATTTTCTACCGTAATGCCTCATGCATTCTAGCCGGCCAACAACTACTGAAATATCCTCTGTGTACACAAGATTAAGCTCCAGTCTGACATGTGGCCCCTGGTCTCCAAAAGCTTATGATTCAATTGGGGGAAAATGAAAATGAAGTTAAGAAACAAGTACAAAGTAAAAAAAATGTTAGTAACAGGAAAAGTAGCGGTCCAGCAGCGAGGTCAGAAGAGCGAGAGAGATAAGGGTCCGGGTCAGCTCTGCGGAGACGGGATGTGGCCGGGTTTAGAAGACGGGCAAGGGTTTGATGAGCTAAAGGTAGGAAGGTAGATGTAGTTAAAGGCAGACTGAATGGCACAGAGGAAACGTGGGGAAGAAACGTGGAGGTAAGACAGGACAAGAAATGTTTGGGGAGAAACGAACAGCTTGAGGGATGGATTAATGGGGGCTGAGGTGTCAGGGTGGCCGGGGTTTGGTTGTGAAAGGCCTGACTCAGGGTGAGTAGTCAGCATTATGAAAGGGCCTGGGGCCCCAGCAGGGAAGATTCTGCACACCCACCCAGCCCGACCCCTGCGAGACTTTCTAAGGTATTCAAAGGGGGTAATAAACTGGTGAGGAAATGTCCACACAGAAACAAAGGAATTGACTTAAACTAGCTTTCACAATCCCTATTGAATAGAGGCAGGCTGTAGGATAGTCACAGAGATGTGTGTATGCTCATCTTTATAAATATATATATTTTCCTCATCAAAACTGTAACACATCAAAGGTTTTATTAAAATCTTGCATAATCATTGCAGACTTTTTAAACAAGGCCCAAAAATGATAAAAATCTCTGTTCTCTGAAGGCTGATCTCATGTGTGTCCTGGGAAGTCCGGGATGTATGGATTGTTGCAGTAAAAGCTCCAGAATGGTAGAAAGGTTAGATAGTGGCGGGGTGCAGGCCTCTGTCAAGGACTGATGTAGTGTGACTGGAAATGCATAGGAAGGGGCCGGGGCTCAGGAGGAGAGGGGAGGGTCCGGTGACCAGTAGGAAGGAGGTGAGAGGGGGAGAGTAACTGCCAGGCACCATGCAGCCAGAACCTGTCAGCTGATGTCTGCATCTGTCCTGACCGGCCAGTGTCCTTGGCATGCCGGTCAGGCCTCCCCATGCCCACCTGCATTTTGGTATCTTTTTTTTTTAAGAGGCTCTTTGAGGTTTGTTTGTATGAGCCAAAGATTAGTAGATTAAATTAAAAAATCAAGAGACAAACCCACATTTCAAGCCTGGCTATGCAACTAAGACTGTGACCTTGGACAAGTCCCTTCTTATCTCCGGACTTCAGCTCCTCTAAAGAATGAGTCATTGTGCCAGATGATCTCGCAGACCACTCACAAACTCAGAAATTCCAGGAAGTCCAAAACTTAGTGACCAAAGGTCCAAACTTCTTTCACCAGTTGCTTTTATAAGTAGAACAGAGGTTGCCAGCCTTGGCTCTCAGGTGAAATTTTGTGACATCAGCTATAAGCAGTTTTCAATTTCAGCAAGCAGCTTTTTGGTTCAGAATAACTGTCCAAAGTTTTATGTCTTTTTTTACTTAAAAAACAAGTATGAGTAACTAGACTTTATGTAAATTGATCTCTCATGTAATTTGCTGTTTAATATTACAGCAGATTTTTTTATTGTGTATACATGGTATTTGAAATATGCAGCCTCTTTCACCACCCACGAAGGGCACAGATTACTTTAGTGACTTCCTTCGTATAATTCATAGTGCTCTGGCATCGGGATTTGGCCTTGAGCAGGATATCCCCCCACTCGTTCAATGAGCATTTGTCCTGAAAGTGCAAAATTTGCCAGAGGCCGTCTTGGGAGCGGTGGCATTGAAACCTGTGTGTGTGGTGTGTTTCCTTTTATCCCCCACCCTTCCATCCCTCCGGGAGACCTGCAGAAAAACCAGCTGCATCTGGCTGGTTGCGCCTGTCCGCCGCTGGGAGACCATGATGCAGAGCACAGAACTGTGTCACCGTCGGCGTAAAGAGAGGTGACAGCAGGGAAACGGCGAAGCAGCCCCAGCAAGCCTGCGGGGAGGCAGCCAGCGTGGCTCATGCGCGGGAGGACCTGGAATTGGCCTTCTGTGTGTTCGGTGTGGACACCTGAATTTGGACAGGAGCTTACAGGAAGGGTTTATAAACCTGAATTTGTTTCTTTGTAGGTGACATGTTAACTTTGGAGAGGCTCAACGACTGCTGTGGTGACACAAATCCGCTATCTTTCCTCTTGTTCCTCTTGTGTCCTTGTGTTGTGACACGTATCAGTCTCCTTAGAAACATGGCCAGGGATTTCTTACAAAGTCTTGGAGCTGAGGCTGAGGGTTTGCCGCCAAAGCATTTCTTGCCCCCACTTCTTAAAATACGTGTGGTCAGAAAAGGTCAGGGTCATTAGCATGTGACAGAAAGGGGAAAAGACGCCTGCCTCCCAGCTCTTGGGCAGAGAGAAGGTTCCACTGTTTGGTAGCCAGTGAGGCCTCTTTTCATAATTTATAAACAAACAAGAATAATTCTTTGGAATCTGCAGGCAGATTGGCAGAATCTGAAGTGAAGATTAGCCAGAACCAAAAGTCAGGTCAGTAACTAAATCCATGGTTCTCAAACTGTGGTCTGTGAGGTCAATGCTATTTTCATAGTGATACTAAGGTGTCACTTGCCTTTTCCTCTCATTTTCTAACAAACGTATGGATTGAATGCAGAAGCAGATAAGACCGAACTGTCTTCTATGAATGACATTTGCAATAATGGAAAACAGTGCATTCTTTCCACTTAAATTCTTGTTTTGTAAAATACAGATATTTTCATACAGTGTTATTTATATTAACAAGTGATGAATTTATTATTATTTTAATTAATACTTTAAAAATTTCTCAGTTTTAATTAGCAATATGATAAATGTCAACAGATACAAGCCATGTGGTCCTCAGTAGTTTCCAAGAGACCCCGAGAATCGCTGGTTTGAATGGAAAGACTACTGAGAGGCGCACACCCCAGCCGCGGGTCCCTGAAGTCTGAAGGCAGCCATCGTGATGGCTTGAGACTCTGTGAGGGTCTTTACGGCATCATTCCTTAAGAGATTTGAGTGTTTTGATCTTGTATAGAAGCAAAAAATAACAGTATACACATTGAGAGTGAGTATAAAGAGAGAGCAAGACACACTGGCAGGAAGAGGCCGTGAGCGCCCCGGGTGAGACACAGACCCCTTGGCCCTGGCCCTGCACCCGTGACCTCCTTTCGTGGCAGGAAGGACAGCTAGAAACTATGGGAAGAGTGGGGGTCGCAACCTTTTCCTGGCTACAAGGGGATCAGGAAATGAAGGTGTTTCCCTCCATTTAGATATTTGAACAGAGGTCATTGCTTTCCTGAAATTTCTTTTCAAAATCCTAACTTTCTCAATAATTTTGAAATACTGCAGTGTCATCATTTAAAAATGGCCTCCAAAGTAGGGTTAATGCCGGTAAAATGTGCAGTTAACTTTGTTTTGCCTGTGACTGTGGATTTTCTGTTTATTATGTTCTGTCTGATTTCAGTAAGTTTCTGTGGAAGTTTGCAAGGATATGTAATAATATAAAATATATAATATATAAAATAAAAGTGAAAATAATAATTAGAATCAAGGCCAGGGAACCTATTTGTGTGTGTGTGCAGTAAAATGTGGACATAGCTATAAGGCACATAAGAATGTTTGTGTGTGTTACAGGTCATGGCCACGTAACGATGGGCCAGATACATCATACGCAGCGTCTGCCTATGTTCAGCCTCCTCTTTGGTGTAAGAACTGCCTTCTGCAGCCCCTGGTGAGAAGATGCAGGAAGTCATGTTTTATCTCATGACCTTGTTTTATTTTAGCATTAATTCATTAAACTGAGAATGCATACTCGTCCAAAGACCAGCCAGGGGCCTAGTGAGAAAAGAGGTGTAGGCTGGCCAGCTTCTTGCCCTGCAGCTGAACCTGGAAATCCTAGGAGGCAAGCCAGTGGGTGGAAGGTGAAGCCGAGAGGTCCTGTCACAGAGCCTGGAGGGCTGCGGTGGCCGCACGCAGGCCCCGGGAGGCCAAAGCAGAAGGCGTGTTGTCGCAGGAGACCGGCTGGCCGAGAAAGGAGACCGGATTGCCCGTGGAGGAAATGCAGCCACGGGGGAGGCCCTGGGTCTGTGGTACAGGGATGGGGGGCACAGGCAGCCTCTGCGGCCAGCAGCCCTCCCATCACGGCCTCTGTCTCCTGAATCACCCACCTGTGGTCTTGGCGACCAGGGAGCCTCAGGGGGCCGAGCGCAGTGTGAGGGAGGCAGGGAGGCTCGCGCTTGACTCTGGACTCCTGGCAGCCAAAGCGAAAAGTGATTCACTGTGGATCACGAGCTGCATAAAAAAAAAGAAGGCAGTTTAAAGGTAGTACTTTTCTAACACTGAATTTTATTCTTAATTTTTTAAGGAAACTTCCTGTATAAAAGGGCGATTGATTTTAATATATGGAGGTTCCGTAAAAAAATCAAAGATAAAATTACCATGTGATCCAGCAGTTCACTTATGAGTATATACCCAGGAGAAAGGAGAATTCAAAGCAAGATCTGGAAGAGAAAGTTGCACACCCATATTCACTGCAGCATTATTCACAATAGCAAAAAAAACCTTAATGGCCATTGATACATGAATAGATAGAGAATGTGGTGTGTGTGTGTGTGTGTGTGTGTGTGTGTGTGTGTGTATGTACATGTACATATATAATAGAATGTTGTCAGTCTTAAAAAAGAAGGAAATCCAGCCACATTCTACAATATCTTTGAATCTCAAGGTCATTACACTAAGTGAAATAGACCAATCATAAAAGGACAAATACCGTATGATTCCATTCACACAAAATGTCTAAAGTAGTCCAAATCATAGAAGCAAAACATAGAAAGATGGTTACCAAGGATGGGGAATATTGGGGAAAGTTAGTGTTCAGTGGGTATAGAGTTTCAGTTTTCTAAGGTGAGAAGGTTTTTAGAGATATTTTGCCCACCAATATGAACATATTTAACACTACTGAACTGGACACTTAAAAATGAATAAGATAAATTTAATGTTACAGCTTTTTACCACAATGAAAAAGTCAGTAACTTTCATATAAATAACTGAGATACTGATATATTTGAGAATATTCTGTCATTTCTAAAGCAGATGCAGAAATGGATTTCACGTGGAAATGTAAAATGTTAAGTTTACCAACATTGGGCCTCCCCACAAAATTTCAGCTTTAGATCGGTTTCTCTTTAAGGAGGCCGATGCAGACAAAGACACCGCTATTTCCAACCAAAACTTAGCACCTGTGTTCATGACACCCACGCGCACCTCTCCTCTCCCCAGCGCCGTGCGGACACGCCTGAGCGCGCACACCTGCTGAGCGCGCACACCTGC